AAGATCCAACCACCAAAATTTGAAAAGAAAAAAAAAGTCAATTCGATAACAACAACAAACTCAATAGAAAAATTCTTAATTTTTCCTAGAAAATTAAGAGATTTTGTAAGAAAATCAGAGGAGGGCAAGAAACAAAGTGGTTGTGAAATCCATGGCACTGCAGAGAGGAGGCTCTACACGATTTCAATTTTCCGTGTGATTTGAAGTTGGGAAATCATAATCTATGGTGCCATAAATAATTTAGAGGAATCACAACAACAAAGAAAAGGAAAGGGAAAAAATAGAGAACAAAAGGTGGGGGTGATGAATGACGCTATTTTGAGGGAGGAGAAGAGTGGAATGGAAGAGAAAAAGACGAAGAGAGGGTGAGGGTCGGAGAAAAATTAGGAAGAAAAAGGAAGATCAGAGGAAAAAAAAAAAAATTAGGAATGAAGATGGGAGCTTTCCGGAATGAAAAAAGAAATAGACAGTGGAAGTAATAAAATATTACTAAATATGTATTAAATAATATAAAATATTAATAAAATATGAATGAAAAAATATAATATTAGAATTTGTTGTTATCCTGTTGTTTAGTCCGACACTGCATCAAATGCTTCACTAAGTCAGTCTAGCTTAGTCTAGTCTAAACCACTCCAACTTAGTCCCTAAAACTAGTCTAGTCCGAGATAATCCGGTACAACAAACGCACCCTAAATGCTTTTGTGCCCTAGTTGCAGCATTTTCGTCCCTGAATTGCAAAGTCCAAACTATGAGTATGAGCTACATCTAAATGGGCCCAATAGATTTGGGCTTTGAAGGAGAAGTAGGCCCAACAAAATGAAGAATCGGGTGGAAGATAATCACAGAATGGAAGGTGGTAAGGGGTTGCTTGCTCCAACACTCCAGACTCCTCCAATCCTTGTGCAGACTGCCGCCGTGTGAGCTTCATTTCTTTATATTTTGCAGATAAGGCGCCAAACAATTCAACTTCTTCATTTCTTCCCCAATAATTTACACTCCGAGCAGCACACAAATGGCGCAGACCTCCGTTTCCACCTCCGCCTCCGCACTCAGATTCAACTCCCTCGTCTTCGCCCCAAACCCTAGCTCTTCTCCCCAACCGCAGACCCTTTCTCTCCCCTTCCACCGCTTTGCTTCAAGGTCATTTCTATTCAAATTCACTCTCTCTATTTCAATTTCTTTTTACCTTAGTAGTACTACTTGGATTGGCTAAGGTAAGAAATTACATGTTCTGTAATTCGAAAAAATAGAGGAAGGAAAACCCAGAAATCTTAGCTAATTGGTGAGAAATTTGATGGGATTCAAAGATTTTGAATTTCTGCTGAACCCAGTTCTTTAGAATTCTCCGCTTTGTTCGCTGAAATTAATTTGGAAATTTTGGCGAATGTTACCGTAAAGGAAAGCTTTTTCCATGTGGAAATTTTGCAGGAATTTGAAAAATTTAGTTGGGAGCAGCAAAAGGAGTTCTCCAGTGAAAGCTATCTACTCTGGTGAATTTTGGACACCGGCGGAAAGGAATTCCCGTCAAGGAATTTGGTCCATAAAGTGGGTTCAGTGTTGATTAGTGCCTGCGTGAATAATATTTACTCGGATACTAAATCTTCTGCATATTTTTCAGTTGTTTATGTCACTATGACTTTGATGTTGTAGGGAGGATGTCCAAGTTCCATCTTCGCCATACTTCCCTGCATATGCACAGGGACAGGGGCCACCCCCCATGGTGCAAGAACGCTTTCAAAGCGTTATTAGTCAGCTTTTCCAATATGTAAGGAGTAGCTATTTGTGTTTTTCTTCCTGTTAAATTTGGTGAGTTTTGCATCGCTTTTTAGTTTCTTATAATTAATGCTTTTCTTGTTTATATGACTGTCAGAGAATAATACGTTGTGGGGGAGCTGTTGATGATGATATGGCAAACATAATTGTTGCTCAACTTCTTTACCTTGATGCTGTTGATCCTCAGAAGGTCTGTACTATTCTATTTCTGCTCTTCGTTTATAGACTTATAGTTCCTCTCTTTCTCTCTCTCTATTGCATGTTTCTTGCAGTGATTTTTGGAATTGTAAAATATTTTTCAATTGATTGATCAGTTAGTCTCTTCTGATTTCTGAACAGGATATTGTCATGTATGTTAATTCACCAGGAGGATCTGTTACTGCTGGTACGACCTATCTTACGAACTTGTCTGGCTCTGTTTACAGTTTTTTGTTCATAAGGCAATTGTTATATGTTACTTGAATAACTAGCTCTTTATCTGCTTAGGTATGGCCATTTTTGACACAATGAGGCATATCCGACCTGATGTCTCCACTGTTTGCGTTGGACTTGCTGCTAGGTACATGCCTCTATAATATACTCTTCTCTTCCCCTGTTACTACATATGAATCTTTTAAGTGTGTGTCAGTACGGGTCTAGTGTTAACTTTATTGATACAGATAGTAGCTTTGGGGATGAAATTCTAAACACAATTTTTATTTTATTTTTTATTTTTCTGCTGCCTCACAGATACTGTTGACTTGATTTCCTTAGCTTTTTCTGTTCTCCCATTTTATATTAGAAAAAATGAGGGGTGTTTTATTCATTATTCTTCTGGTTGTATGAGTGGAGATGCTGAGGCAGATTTAAGCTTTAGTTTGTGAAAAGATATCATTTGTTAATGCTTATAAGTATGTAATTTCTTAATATCAGCTACGTATTCAGAATTTGAGCGGTTTATTGATGGCAAGATTTCTTACTTGTTGGTTGTTGCTAATGTTAGCATCCAAAAGAAAATGTCTGTTACCACGCACCAGCAATTGATATATGTATTTGCTTTTAAATAAACAGTATGGGAGCTTTCCTGCTTAGCGCTGGTACCAAAGGTAAGCAATTCCTGTAGACCTGTGGTTTGTATAATTTGTGGTTTTGTGTCCTAAAGTTTGCTAAGTATTTTTCCTTTTTGCTGCATTAATTCACTGAAGGAAAAAGATACAGCTTGCCAAATTCGAGGATAATGATCCATCAGCCTCTTGGTGGAGCTCAAGGTGGGCAAACTGACATTGATATTCAGGTATGATTTGTTTCCAGTTTTGAAACCTCTATCCGTGTCAACCGAAAGCCAAAAAGGATAAACCTCTCTCCGTATATTATAGTGGGACCTCATGTTACTTTAGCAATCACATCTTGGTTAATGTTTTATTACTAGTCATCAAGCCTGTCTTATTTGGTACTAAAACCTTTATATATTAAAGTAGAACTCTCGATGTCTTGAAATTTTAACCCGCCATTAGGAAAGATTAGATTTTAAAGATTTCTTGAAGGCTTTTGGTCTACTATTTTCTTGAAGGGGTTGGTGTGCCTTGTTTTAAACCCACGATTAAATCTCTAAATAGTTGACATGCTGTGCAGGCAAATGAGATGCTACACCATAAGGCAAACTTGAATGGCTATCTCTCGTACCACACTGGTCAAAGTCTTGAAAAGATCAACCAAGACACAGATCGCGATTTCTTCATGAGTGCGAAGGAAGCTCAAGAATACGGGCTTATAGATGGTGTTATATCGAATCCTCTCAAAGCTTTCCAACCTTTGGCAGCCGCAACAGCGAGTGGAGATGAACCTACTGAGCAGACTGTTGCGGACAGTTAAAGGGGAATCTAGTGTCCGAACCTGTTGGTTTGTTGCGAGTAACGGCATGGATATGTTGTAGAGTTGGATGGCGAGGAAAGTGAAATTTACGGGGGTTCGTTTTTAATGCTGAATGATGTTAATATCCGTCAATCAGCGTAGAGAGACGTTAGTATTGCTGTTGATTTTCTCTGAACTAATCATTGAATCATGAAAGAATAGAAATTTCGATTAATTTGGGTTTTCATAGTCATACTCGTACATTGTCAATTTGAACTTCCTCGTTACTTCTCCAGAAATTCTTGTACTAGGATCGGGTGGACTGTCGGACAAGCTCACAATGAAATGAGCCCTACCACTAGGCCTCATGGGATTGCACTCCTTTGTTTGTGGGTTTGAGTCTCTCTAGCTCCGACTGTCAGATACAAGAATTTTTCCTATCTTGTTTTACGGTGGTGGTGAACTTGGTTAACGTTGGAAAATTTGAGTGGCCAAAAAAAGATAATGATTGATGATATTTAGAAACGCCAAATTGGATTTTTTTTTGGTCGAACAAAAACACCAAATGATGATTGGCATCTTGAAAGCTTGAATGATATACACGGCACGTGACTTGCATGCATAGTCCATAGGCGGATTATTGTTCTTATAGTTTGGTCTTTGGCTTTTTGTAAAGGGGATCTGCAACTATATCACACCAGAAAACAAATAAAACATATATTTTCTTAAATTATTATTATTAAAAAGAAAATTTGAAACTATTATATTAACCAAATCAACGACGCACGGCTCTCTGAAAAAGCAGGACGGACGGAAAAGAGAAACACCCAACACCACTTCATCCCCAAAAGAAGTCGGATGAACTTGTGCTGTTGTGCACCTCGTGCCATCTTTGATTAACTTATAAAGAGCCCGTTAATGTGTGAGAGAGAAATTTAACTATACCAACATAATCACGTATTGTTGTGTGTTTTGATTTTTCTGCATGAAGTGTGTGATTGACTTAGATAGCGATCGTCACTGGGGGCATTCCAGGCGCTTGCTACAATGGCGGTTCCCATGTTGATAAAGTAGTGTCATGTGTTTTTTTTTTTTTTTTGTATGAGACTGTGTAATTGAATGAGATATCGTTATTATGGCATTCCAAGTGTATACCATCAAAGCCATTTTCTAACCAATCTTTTCGACTGTGTATGTGTGTATTAGAATGACAGGATTGAAGAACCTACCACCACCCACTGTCCACCCCCACTCGTTAACTTTATGCTCATGAGTCATGAGCGATGACAAAGTGATCCAACTTTCTCATTTTGTGAACCAAAAATATATTAAAAAAAAAAAAATTTGTAAAAGATGCCAACAAGAAACAACCGCTGGTAGTGGGCTGTGCGGGATGAACAAGAACAAGATGACGACATATGTTACATATATTTTAAGTACATTGTTCTAAAAACACTAAAACACTAAAAACCAAACACTTCGAATTTCACATGGATCAAGAAGGGACAGAGGGAATCCTTTCAATTCCAAAGGAAAGATTGTTAGTCCTCCTCATGAAGCTTGGGAAAGATGAAAATGTTGGCAGTTCTTCAAGCTCATCAAAGAAGTCATTGTTTTCTTCCGATAATTTGGGTGTTGAGAAGCTCATCAGCTGAGAATATGATAGTGATAGTGGCTCTTGCTTTTCATCCAACAGGAACCCAAAGCTCGTGTCGTGAGCAATAAAAATGTGTTCTTCTTCCTGGGAAGATCTGACTGGGGACTCGATGTAGTGGAAGTGTTCTTCCAATTTCCGATGTTCTTGTTCTTGTTCTTGCTTTTGATCTTGCTTTTGATCCTGTTCTTGTTCTTGTTCCTGTTCCTGTTCCTGTTCCTGTTCTTGTTCTTGCTTTTGATCATGTTCTTGTTGGGTAGTGGAGATCACATTCACGTCAGGAGGACCTGAATGATTGTGGCTACAAGTGTAGGTGATTATGAGTACCGAAGCATCAGTTTTGCTTCTCTCCACTTGTTTTTTTGCCGAGCAACCTTTCGATGTACTGCAACGGTAGTATCCCCTGCATCATCGGGTGGTTGCTCGGTCAGTCATGGAGCAACCATCATCAAAAATACCAACAAAACTGAAACATTGTACTGACTTTGAAATCCCACCATATGCCAACCAAAGCTTGCAAATTCTTGATAAAATATGATCATAGATGGCAACATGCATGAGTACAAATAATCAAGGGCACTGGTTTTTAAACCCCGTTTTCTTCTTTTGCACTCCTCTCGTTTTTGGTCATTGATCTTCTTCCTCTGACGTGTCGGGAAATAACAGGGAAGTTTGAAATAACTTCCTATAATAAATTCACTTTTCCTATGGGGACTTCAAATTTAACTAAAGAAATTAAAAAAATAAAATGTGAAAACAATTGATCATGAGCCAAAGAGAAAAATATAAAACCTTGGATAAGGAGATCCTTTGATGGGTTTTTGGCCATATTTCCTCCATGACCAAAGATCAGAAGGCGGCCCTTCATTCTTTAGCTTCCCAACATTAGCTCCTATCTTCACTGTCACAACAGTCTTCTCATGAGCCAACTTCCTACAACAATACAACAATATACATATGTTAAAAACAAAAATAATAAAAATACCCGTACAAGTTTCAGATGAAATTTAAAGCCAGTGATTTTCACTCTCTCAGTTTCTCCTTCCGCACTTCTTCCCTTGTTTCAGTACATCGTTTCTTGTTTGACTTAGGTAGATATGTATGTACCTTCTTTTGGATGACCGAGTTTCTGGCCTGAGCTCCTTTGAAACATCTGAGTCGGGTTCTGGAGAGAGGGTTGCATCCATGCTCCTCCCCTTGGTGATGTTCTATCTTTTTTTTTTCTGGGGAGGGAGGGAAGGAAGTTGCAGAAGCAAATGACACTAAAAAAGAAGGAAGAAATGGACCAAGATGAGACAGAAGAGTTGTCCAGTTGGTTAAGAGAGAGAAAGAGAAGAGAGAGAGGAAGGGGAAAAGCAAAGGAGGAGGAGGAGGATAAGCTCGGAGATGACAAAAACCCCTCCAAGTTGCTTTCTCTCTTTCTTTTCACTCATTTAATATAAAGTTATCAACACTTACTATATGCACTGCACGTATCACCAACCCCACTTCCCTCTCTCTTTCTTTCTATTAGTAGCCCCACCTCACCACATATTCAATATTATATATAGCCCCACCCATTAGAGCCATGCAAAAGGATATTTTCCATGGCCAGCATGAGCATCTTGGCCCCATGCACTTTTTAATGCAGTAGAAATACAGCGGATGGATTTGGAAATTATATGTAACAAGTAATCTAACATCCAATGTCCACGGAGAATTCAAAAATGTGTATTAGGTTAATTGACAGTGACTTAAACCAAGTTCTAACTTCTCCCTCTTAAATAAGAGTAGCTCGTAAAACATATTGGGCCGAACAAATTGAGAAATTGTAGAGGCAATTGTATGCAACCATTTTTTTATGGAGGTATTGGTATCATCCCCTGAGATACTCTTTTATTGGTGTGATGGATCATTGACATTATCTTGTTTCAAAGAGTTGAGGTTTGAGAGGCATGAAAAATAAGGTGCATATTTTCTAATTTTGTTTTAGATGTCGAGGGCAAATCCTCTCGTCTAACTCTGCACACTCAAGCAACCCAAAGTTGAAATACACTAGAGAGGACAAAAGATGTACCAAGATGAAAATCCAAAATTCCATTCCATTCTTAGCCACAAATCCATCCAACCAAGCTGAAACAACTTATTGCATTAGTGCAACAATCAATTTCTATGTTTTGCACACAAAAGTTCGAAAATATGTTAAACCCAGGAGACTATCACGACAAAATATTAAGACATGCACTACCAAATGAGAGGTGAATAAAAATTAGACAAGCTGAGAACAGGTCTGCTACTGACAAAAATAACTAATAGAGTCGCCACAAAAATAAAACGATTCGTAACATATATCAATAAGCCTAATTATATTTTGTTTTGTGTGTCAATTTGTTATGCATCAGCGAACTTAGAGCGCCATTGAGAAACACGATCCGGGTGAAATGCATTGAAAAACCCTTCCAAGCCATGCTTTGAATACTTTTCCTTGAGTTGGATTTTAGGCTATGAACACTGACTTCATAAACACAACCTAAACTATTACCCAAAAACTCCGCAGTTCTCAGGGCTTTATAGCCATCGTCAACTGAATCGCACCCGAATCCATAGTGATGTTTCATTGTGAATTATGATGACGGCGGGTGTGGGAGAGGAAGCATCTTGAACTTTTGAATGGACGGGTTCCACAAAGCAAATACGCATAGCGTCATAGTTATAAATGCAAACTAGACCATTGGCATAGCCCAACATCAAAGTACACCTTTCTGGATTTTTCGGAGGGTGCTAAATTTTCACGCCTCTCCTGTCGGTGGGTATCGTTGTCGTAAAATGGCGATGAGTAAATAATGAACGGGTTTTTTCGTCCAACCAAATTCCGTGAATAAAAGAGTGCGAGAAAAGTTGGTTTCAATGGAGCGTTGAAGATGGGATTTGGTGAAGTGCTGGCCATGAATGATAGCATTCCAAGCTTTGGAGACGCAAAAACATCGTAGCAAATCCTCGGGGGGAGCCGTAAAAGGATTTCAAAGATTAACTCCAGTGGGAAGCCTGACATGGCTGGAACATGGAAGCCTCTCATTTTAGGGTTTTTAGGGTTAACAAGTCACTCGGGGACTTAGGGTTTAGGGTGAAGTGCACACGACGAACCAGTTTTGGACGAAGTAGCCAAATAAAACGTGAAAATAGCTCAACAGAAATAATAAAAAAAAAGGGTGGGCGATTGTAACAACAAAGTCGTTGTAGTATAGTGGTAAGTATTCCCGCCTGTCACCCGGGTGACCCGGGTTCGATCCCCGGCAACGGCGACACTTCTGTTTCTTTTTATGTTTTCAAGTAATTTAACACTTTCCCACGTGAATATAATATAATTGTGGTACGGCGGGACAAGTTAGAATCCCACCAGCAAATCCAATTCAGATATATAACCGAGGGCCCGCTTGCTCCTCCTCCTCCTGCGCTCTCAATCATTTACTTTACTGGATTTTGTGAGTAAAAAAAAAGAACAATTGATGGCATCGTCACTGGAGGGAGCTCAGTGAGGGAGTGATGTGACATGTGAGTGTCCATTTGCAGAAATTAAAGTGGAAACTCAGATCACAGGGTTCCACTTTTCCCGTTTTCCTGCTGTGCACAAACAAACAGAAACAGGAGGATCGCTTTAGATTATGGGGAAATTAATTTGGAGAAGCTGCCATTGGAAGCCAAATTATGTCTTTAGCTTTAATTAGTGTATAACATGCAACGGATGAAGGGGTCACCGAATGTGTAGCCAACGATAAAACAATTAATCAATGATCCAAAACAGGTACGTATAGGCAATTAGGCATCCACGTATACTAGGTCCAACGAACTATATATTGTATATAGACTAACAGCATGCCTTGAGTCCGGACCACTTAATTAAGGATCGACCTTAATATTCTGATTTTACCAGAATATATTAATTGTTGAGTACTTGAGCATATTTATTTATAATGTTACAGCAGCAGCATGTTTTTTATATCAACTTGAAAATGTTGTTGGTCGATTGACTGTTGAGGTAAAGATTACTATTACTTGATCATCATCGTGACCACCAATCAGGGGGCAGTAGTACTTCTTACATGTATATGTGTGTGTGTGTGTGTGTGTGTGTGTGTGGAGAGAGAGAGAGAGATTGTATATTTGCAGTTCATCAAATTATTCACGGGCACTCTCTATCCGTCTCCAAGCTTTAGCAAATCACCAAACGTCACACGTTACACCATAATCCCAGACAGTGACATGCAATGAAAAGAATCAGCATGCACGACTGCTGTAACTAATTAAGATCACCAATATTAATTAAAACTTGATTAGAAAAGGCAGACCAGCATAATTTTAATCCTCCTAATTAACAAGGCTAAATACACAAGCAAGTATTTTCTATTGCAAAAGTCTGCTTGGCCGTAAATGGATGATCATTGATGCATAAAGAAGGCAGTATAATTATTTATTTATTTATTTATTTTGAAGGCATCTTCTACCACCATAATTAAAAATAAAATTTTGTTATTCTTAATTAGCATATATATGGCAATAAACTAGCCACACTGGAAGTTCATTGGCGTAGGGTTGCCGGTGGTGGATGACAGGGTTTTAGGTGGCGCTAGAGAGGAAAAGTGGGTTGAGAGGGTGGCAATAGCTGCCAGCTTTGGTTGTTTGTGGTGGTGGAGGTTGAGGGATGACGTTGAGTCTTTGGTTGTTGTGGCTAAAGCCAAAAGAGAGCTGGCGATGGGCTCAGAACTGGCTGACTTTGTTGGTTGGTGGCTGTATTACCTCACTGTGACTATTGGTCTGGTTAGGGTAGTAAAGGGTAATGTGTGGCTTTCCATGGTTTTGTTATGTAGAAGGACAGAAGCCAAACTTCGTAACGATTAATTTGCAGAGAAGATCATGATCGTCAAGACGAAAAGGTTTATATCTTATAACCTCATCCGATTAATTGATTATTGAACACAAAACTTCGGGTGCAAGAATAAATGTTCTAAACCATCTGAGCTATAGGTCCCTTATCTTATTTGTTTCATACTTCATTTTGTATTGTTGGGTAGCTGTTCCAAAATTTAATTTAATTTTTCTTTTCTTTGGATGAACTTGTACCCTATTTTTAAGGAATTGGATCCTCTCCGAGGCAATGCCTTGGGATCCTACTGACCGGACAACATGGGTCCGTTGGATTTTGATCCAACAGCTACAAACAAAGGGGTCTCTCAAAAGTTATAATAATTATAGTTGTTGGATCAAAATCGAACGGCCCATGTTATCCGGTCAGTAGGATCCCGAGGCATTGCCTCGGAGAGGATCCAATTCCTATTTTTAAAGCCAACGTACAACAACTGTATCATAATTATTTAATTGTATTATTCTTGGCAAGATGTGCATTTATATATTATCAAATCAGCTGATAATGAAGATCAACATTGTTGGTAACTTTGTATTGGTTCCTTTACAATGTAATGACAAAAAATTGGTGCATTAAGTTGAGAATATGAGAAGTACTATAATCAAGTAAAATGGTATCTTCTTAAGTACAAATACAGCGACAGATTGATATATACACACAAACCAATCTTAACACAGCTCATTGCAAGGGGGTGTCTCTGATTTCACAGATCATAACTTGAGCGAGAAGTATTGTACAATATTAACCAAAGAGTTAAAATTCTTCCATTGTGGAACTTACCTGGCTGGCACGAAATATATTCTCTCCTTCTCACGTAAGTTATATCACATGAGCAGTGAGATTAACACTATAGTTATAACCCTGTGCCAGCATGTGTTTTTCTGTCGTTAATGATCTTCTTCTGTAAATATACATAATCAATCACAGCAAAATGCAAGGTCAATTGACCTAATTAGAGTTAAAAAGTTTTCTTCCGAATTTCCAATTCCATGATATTACCGAAAATGCTGGATTAAAAAGGTTCAAAATCTATAGTAATCTTCTCCAATTGAAAAAACTATGGACAGTAATATAATAATACGTTACTGCTTTTAGTTTTTTTACTTTCCTGTCCAACCCTTTTATTTGTCGTGTTTCTGAGTTTTGTCTTTTAACTCTCTATAGTCATCCGAACGAGTCCACATCTTCTTCCTTTAATTAAATCCCTTCGTTTAACAACCTTGTAATCTTGCGCAGAATATTTTGATTAAATATGGTGATTGGCAGTGACATTTGTTTAACTTTTAGCTCAAATTGAGGGTTAAATACAAGTTTTTGGCATTTCATGGCGGCTGCCTTTGTTGAATATATCGGAATTATGTCACTATCATGGTTGCATTCCTCGCCTTAAAATGTGCTTTAGTACCCATGCCTGTGATCGTTGTTATCAACCAAACATACAAATTGATATAGATA